CACCGGTTATACGCAGGAGCAACTCTTTCTGAAGTGAAGCTACAATGGCATCAACGTCCTTCTTTGCGCCGAACAACATCAAGTCGTCAACGTAGCACAACACATAAACCTTCCGACCTGCATGAAAGTAAAGGTTCGGATCACTCTTCATGCACTGGAAACCTTGCGCCTCAAGTGTAGCTGCCAAGTGGGTCTGCCACAGCGCAGGAGCATTTTTCAAGCCGTAAAGCGCACGCTTAAGTTTCCAAACCACACCCCCTTCGGGGTAATACTCTACAGGAGGAAGTACCCAAACATCGCCATCCACCAACGCATGCAAGAACGCCGTGGAGATGTCTGCCAAAGTGATGTGTCAACCACGCGCTACCGCCAAAGTCAACAAGGTCTTCAACGTCAACAAGCTGGGCGTAGACGCATAAGTGTCATCCGGATCATCAATGAGCTGGTCATAACCACGGACAACAAGTCGACATCGACAAGTGCCATCGCCTTTGCGAACTTTAACCCACTTTGTGGATATTACAGTCGCAAGTTGCTCTGGCGTCAGGTCTGACATTTTCTGCTCCGTGAAGACGTCGAAGTCGATCATGCTTTTCATTTCCTTGTTCATGCCAGCTTTTTCTTCTTCGTAAGTGAATTCAGGCGACTGCCAGAACAAGGGATTGCTCAAACGCTCAGCAAGTGAGATCTCTGTTTCATCTTGGTTGACGCACACAGGAACCTCAAGTTCCTGCTTCGTGGTGACGGCAGAAATTCTCAAGTCGAAAATTCGCATCTGCTGGTCAGGCGAGCGGACAAGTGACGAAATGCGCTGCACTTTCGTCGCTGCTTCAGGGACCTCTGAAGTGTCGCGCTTGCGCTCCGTCGTGACGCCTACGCGCCTTCGCGAAGTCGCAGGCTCAGAGGAAGCTCTTTCAGCGGAGGAAGTAGGTTCCTCATGACTGCGCTTGTCCTGCCTCTCTGCAAGTTCTTCAGCATCCATCGGTCCCTCAGGCACTGGCAAGTCGGCGGCCGCGCGGGTTTCCGAAGTCGACTGAAGCTCACGCAACATGTCTTGCTCAAGTTCTTGCGCCAGGTCACCAGCATTTCCTAAGTTTTCCGGAATGGCATCCGGATCGTCTGGTGGCTCAACCAAGTTCTCTCCAGGTCTCGGCTGCTGCGGTGGAAAGACAAAGTGATCTGTCTCAACTTTTGTGCCTCTAGGGTCCCAGGGCGTTGCCGTCAGGGACTGCACAAGTGCCAAGTCGAGCTGCTCAGACGGCGGTCTACGCCGAAGTGAACGGATCTTTATCACACCCTGGGGTGTCCCAACGAAGTGCTGGTTGGACTCTGTGTCTCTTCCGAGCCAAAGTCCTTCTTCCCAAGCCGCGTCCGATTTGGGAAATTTGCCAATTTTGCGAAAGTGAACAACCTCCGCAAATCGACAAAGTGCGCCGTTATACGGCTTTCCCCAGCGCTTCTCGAAGGAAGTAAGTCCGTCACTTTTGTGAGCATATCGGTTCATCAACCACTGCGCATGCTTTACAAGCCAAGTGAACAACGGATGGGTTTTCTGCAAGGTGAACCCAGAATACCTTCCCTCTAAGTCAAGCTTGAGGGTGCGTATTTGGGCATACAAGTTAGACTGAAGCACTCCAACTGCTCCTTGGGCTTGCTTCCAACCTGTTGGGGAATGACGAACCGAAAGTCCGCCTACCTCCGAAGTGAACTCAGCAACCAAAGCCTTAAGTGAGGGTTCGGGGTCGATTTGCAAGATGCCAAAAGTGCGCCCGATTTCAAGGATGTATCTCCGAAGTTCTGCCTGAGCATAGACAGAGCGGCCTTTGGCTGGAACAACGCACGAAAGTCCCATGCCCGACAGCAAGTCCACAGCGGTGAGGAGAGTAACCTGGGGCTCTTCAGGATTATCTCCAAGGAAGCAGTAGTCAAGTTGAACGACCGGCTGCTTCGTTTTCAAAGTCCTGCTGTGGTTCTGTTTGCTCTTTGCACGGACGCAAATCGGGCACCAAGAACGAAAAGGCAGGTGCGTAAGTTCATGCTCTTTACGCTCCGTGAGCGTCGGCTCCGAGGGCGCAGGAAGTCCTCTCGGTCGCCGGGCCGATGTCTCAAACAAGTCAGGTTCGGCCACCTCGGGAATCTCCTTGACATACAAGTCACGCTTCTCAAAGCAAGTCGCACCACCACAAGCAAAGGGTTCAACAACGTCACGATCTGCACCTTCAAGTGTCCAATCGTCTTCATCAACCTTCATGCTCCCATGATCGTCAAGTTGTATTGTAACCCGTGCTTTGCTTAACTCGCTCAAGTTCGGACCGCCTTCGGAACGCTCTGAAGGCACGAACAAGTTCTTTCGTGGCTGACGGTGAAGTCTAATCCACATGGTTGGCAACTGCACCCAAGTGTCGTGGGTGTAGGCCTCATTGGTCTGTGGATCCACATCATCAAGTGATCTCTTCACAAAGTTCTCAAGACCTTTCATGGGATCAACTGCTTCATCCGCCACCAAGTCAAACACTCGCTTTCGGAAAGTATCAGCATATTCACCATGATCTCGCAGGACAACTTCTGGACTAAGTTTCTGGGTTGAAGTCCTAGAACTTGGGACAGGCGGTGGCATTTCAACATGAACTTCAGGACGGGGCAAAGTTGACTGCTTGCCTACAAGTCTCCTACCTGTTGGTTTCGAAGCAAGTTTGAAGACGGTTTTGCCCTTGAAGTACTTATCCTGCTTTGCTCGGGGATCATCACTTTTTCGCCAATCATCATTCAAGGTTTTAGACGAACCGTCTTCAAAGTTCATGACTGTCACACGTTCACCTGTCAAGTCTTTCAACTCAACCGGCCGATCCTTGGTTCCTTCGGGAGAAAACAAAGTTGCTCGACCACGCTTGTGAAGCCTCGTCAAGGTTGCGTTGGCCTCATCAAGTACCCAACTGTCCGCGTGGTAGTACGTGGGCTTAAGGGTCGGCGCAACAAGTCCAGGAGGAGGTCTCACTGCGAACTGTTCATGGAATCCTTTGCTGAAGTCTGCATACTCATTCGGATCAAATTCAGCAAGCGTCGGACACAAGAACAGAAGTGAACCATGTCTTGTGACAGGAAAAGTTGCACCCGTGGGACCTTCAAGCTGAGATCCCTCAGATGTCAACACTGCCTTGCATCCTTGCTGCAAAAGTCTAGCGACTGAAATCACACTGTACGGTACATCGCACACATAAAAGTTCAACCAAAGTCGCTGACCATCCAACTCAAAGGCAACAAGCTTTCGACCATAGATCTGCAAAGTCTGGCCTGAAATGCTCTTAAGCGGAGGTGCTCGTTCTTCAAGTTTCAACAACGGGAAGTCCGGAGCAAAGTCCGGGGGACAGCAATTTGCTGCAGCACCGGAATCAAACAGGATCCAAGTCTCAAGTCCTGTCTCAACTGATGCAACAGCAACCTCATGCTCGGCCAAGTAGGGGTCATAGAAGGTGGAACTCAAGTGCTCCAAACCCCAATCGGACAACGAAGTCGGATTCGAGAGCGAAGTTTGATTCGCTTCATTCTTCAACGGCAAGTCGCACACAGGGGACAACTGCCAAGTGGCCACATCACTTCGTGCACCAAGTGAGCGACCAAAGCCATCAAACACAATGCTTCCACTCAACATGCAATCAAGCGATGCATCACAAGTTGGCGAAACGAAACACGACTGCGTACCAGCAAACATGCTCCCAAGTGTAATTGCCGCAATGGCAAGTCCAGAGGCCTTCGAAGTAGCCTTGGGTGTCGCCTTGGGCTTCGCCGCGGAGGAAAGTCTCGCAGGCGGCGTTCCCAAAGTGACAGCACTCACTGGGGCACCCGAAGTTGCCTTCGGCTCCGCAGCATGCGATGGCGGGGCTGAAGTAGCCTTCTCAACAGCAGGTGGTGGCGACACGACACTCCAAGTGTCGTCGTTCCAATCACTCCAAGTGGACGACCAACCATCGTCCCATGCAGGCCACCATTCCTCATCACTCCAACCAAGTCCTACCGCTGCGACTAAGTCATCGCTCCACCATTCTTCCTCAAAGTCACCAACTTGCCAAGTGTCATCGACTGACCAATCTTCAAACGAGCCATCCAAAGTGGCATTCTCATCAACCGCACTCACACGACCAAGTGGACAATTTGCCGAAACATGTCCTGGTTTGCCACAAGTCCAACAAGCCAAAGCATGCTGACCACGAAGTTTTCCTTTGCTCTTGCCTTTTCCTTTTCCTTTGCTTCCTCCAAAGTCCTTTCCTTTTCCTTTTCCTTTCTGTGCAGTGTGAAAACTCAAGTGTGGGTTCTTTCCTTTGCTCTTGCTCTTTCCTTTTCCTTTTCCTTTAAAGTAGCCGAAGCCACTTTTGCCGAAGCCTTTCTTTCCTTTAAGTCCTCCAATGTCCATTGGTGCTGGGCCTTGATTCGACGAAGACGAGTTGCTCATGATCAAGTGCCTGGACTGATAGTACTCGACTATCGTGGCTTTGATGTCTTCGTAAGTCGTCAAGGTCCGAGCATTCAACCTCAAGTGCTGCTGGAGCGCACCGGAAGTCTTATTCAACAACGTAGCGACAAGCACGCTGTCAGGCAAGTCAGCGCCGGTCTGTCGCTCATACTTTGTCTTGATCGTCTCCCAAGTGTTGAAATCCTGCTCGAACGTATGCGACCCAAACCGAAAGTCAAGCAACTGCGTCAGAAGTGAAACATGCCTCGCAGCATCTGGCAACGCAAACTTCTTGACAAGTCGACGCCAAGTCTCAAACCCATTCGAGTCGTAGTTCTGACGAACCACAAGCAATGCCGACTCTGACGTCAAGTTCGCAAGCAGATAATGCAACTTCCGACTGAAAGTGACTCTACCTGCCGTCGCGGTCTGATCAAGTGCTGCAACACCTTCTTCTGTAAGCACGTGCACCTCAAGTGCCTCATCCGTGAGCGGTGCCTCATCATTCTCGTGCTGTTCCAAGTACCTTGCAGCCTGTGCATCAAACATCGACAAGTACGCGCGAAACTTCCACGACCATTCTTCCCATTCCGCAGGTTTACCTGAGAAAGTCGGTGGCAACGGTAGCCTAAGCTTACCGGTGAAGTCGTTCTCTCCTTCAAGTGACATTTGGGCTCTACCAAAGTTCTACTGGAGCTTTCAGCTCCGCTACCATGAAAAAGTAACTGAGGTCACTGAGCTCAACAACACAAGTGAGATATCCGAAGCTGCAAGTATGTTTTCGCACAGGCATCAAGTCTTGATCCTTGAGCCAACCGAAGTTGGTCATGCTGTCTGCACATCAAGTCTGGAGGACTCGGGAAGTGTGTATTTTCTCACAAACACAAACACAAACACAAACACAAACACAAACACAAACACAAACACAAACACAAACACAAACACAAACACAAACACAAACACAAACACACACAAACACAAACACAAACACAAACACAAACACACACACACACACACAAACACAAACACAAACACAAACACAAACACAAACACAAACACAAACACAAACACAAACACACACACACACACCCACACACCTGGCATAACTCGCGGTGTACTCGCAGCACTCGCAGTGTGCACGCGGCACTCGCGGTGTGCGCGTGGCACTCGCGGTATACGCGTGGCACTCGCGGTATACGCCCGGCACTCGCCGGCGCTCGCGGTATATGTGCGGCGCTCGCGGTATACGCGCGGCGCTCGTGGTTGCAGCGCGGCACTCGCGGTTGCAGCGCGACACTCGCGGTACGCGGCATTCGCGTTACGCGAACACACGCCCACACGCCTTCACCCTTACCCCTACCCACACCTTCACCCGTAAACCCCCACCACCCACCCCTCCCCGACACCACCACCCACACCCACACCAACTGTACCAATTGCCAAGGATTGTAGAGGACTCAAGTTGACTAAAGCATCAAAAAGCATCCACCAGTAAGCTTACGATAGTAGTCAAAGGAAGAACTGCCAGGGCGCTTTCTGCGGCCCCTGGCGGCAGCTTGGCTTGGCGCAGCAACAGCGCTGGCAGCCAGCGACCAAGTGCGACGTGTCAAGTATGGTTTCTTATGGCTTTCCTTTTGGGTCCCGTGGTCTCGCATCTCTTTTTGCAAGGCCGCCGAAGTTTACAGCCACCCGAGGCTGGGGGTGTGGGGAGATGTGGGGAGGTTAGGCGGTTTCGGATACTACGGGGGACCAGTGTTGCCAGTTCTTTTGGCGTCTGACCGCTTTGGGGTCTCAGCTTCCCCTTCCGCGCTATCATTGAACTGTGCAGGCCTCCACATGGGGGCTTCGGATTCACGTGGCTGATGGGGAGCCTGTCTTCCCAGGTGGTCTGCTTGTGGAGAGCTGAAGCCTTCTGACCAAAGATTGCAGTTGACGTGCGGAACCGTTTGGTTCCAAGCCAAGCCTGTGTTTGTACCTTTGAGTCAGCGTGTGAAAGCCACCTAAGCCTAAGCCGTATTTTCATTTGAAAAGGTGGCGCGCGAAGGGTCGGCGTCCCTGCTGCCGCTGCAGGCGCGGTTGGCCGCTGGCGATGTCGTGGCCCCTAAGCGCCTTTCAATCAGAGCCCAGAGCCTCTCCACAGAAACCTAGGATTCCGAAGATATGGAAGTCTGGTTTAAAGTCTAGGGCCAAGTCTTGGGGGATGTTTACTGTGGTGGAGGTGGCAGTGGGAATCCTTGCCTGGGGGTTGGCCCAGCTGCGCCCCGGCGGCCACTGAGGCTTCGGAATGTTGAAAGTGTTTCGTTTTGTGGGAAAGGTGTGTTGGGGTAGCAGGTCTAGCAGGTTAACCAACCAGGATCTTCCTTCTTGAGCCTCGAGGGTTTTGTGTTTGGGGTGTGGGGTCGTGGGAGCTCCAAGCTTCAAAGCTAGTCAAGACACTGAAAGTCAGGGATTCGTGCGCTCCAGCGTGGTCGGCTGGTCACCACAGGCATTGGGATTCCTTGTTCAGGGATCTTCCACACGTGGGTCGGGGCTCTCTTGCCTGGCCGCTGCTCCTCGGGGGTTCGGAGATTCGAAGTCAACCAGATCCACTCTTCCTCCGCTGTGGTGTGTTGATCGCCACATTCGCCAATCCTTGTCCCCAGCCATCCCCACCTCGCCGCCTACCACCGGATGATTTGAACGTACTTCCTCCCCCACACGGCTGGGTCCTTGTGTCCTTGCCTGCGCATTGTCCACCCGGCCCTCAGCTTCAGAACCGACTGTTCGGTTCAGGCCTAGCCCACTGCCGCTGCGTGCATCTGCGCCCCACCTTGAAGATCTTGGAAGCTTGCCACTCGCCTTTGGAGAAGTTCCGACACAGGTACCGGAGGCTACCAAGGCCACTGTCGTGACAAGGGAGGTGGAAGTTGTTTGGTCAGGCTGCGCAGCCCAGCGCAACCCACAGGTCAAAGAAACACAAAGAAACCCCACGGTCCTTGACGGTCCTTGCCTTCCTAAATGACAAGAAACGAATGCCCTCATGGGGGAACCGACCCAAAAGTCACCGAAAACAAAGACGGAGTAACCAACTGACTAAACCTCCGTATACCTCCATGCTATCCGGCCTGTTGGACGTCGAAAGGGTCTCGCTCGTCGCTGATTCTGTTGCTGTCTCAAGGTCAAGTCCATGATGGTCCATACAACAATTTCTCCCTTCTTTACGTCTTCTTGCCTTTCCCGGTAGGCCCCTCCTACGTCTCTTTCTTTCTTTGTGGGCTGTAGGAGTTACCAGCTATGGCGAGGGCCCAGAGTCTCAGAAACTGCTTCACGCTTTCTTGGAGCTTCTCGTGGGGGGGAGAGCTGCTTGATGCTTGTGTCACCAGAAGCTCTTCTTCGAGTCTTCATGTAAGCCTACTTGAGCCTTCTCTCTGTTGATCAACATATATATCTATAATCCCTTCCCCCTAATACTAAAACCCCCATGTATATGTATTATATGTATATAACACACACGCCTGGACCACCTACTTTCCCTGCATTCCCTAAACCTCCTACCAAGTCACAAGGCTCTTTTTGAATACCAAGGTCGAGGGCGCTGGCGCAATTGCCCTCCGGTTGCTGCCGCTCGGTGTGACACGACAGTGGCAGGGCTCATCCCCTTTGGACGCAGAACGGTTTAGGATTTCAAAGGCTCTCGGGCTGGCTTTCTAGGAACATCAGGGCTTTTCAGGGGAGTTGCATCATTTGCTCCCACTTTGTTCCGATTTGCTCGAAGTGATGGTCTCCCGTGCTTGTACAGTCCCGCTTTTAGCACCATGGGTGGTGGGGCGTCTTCGAAGCTGGTGGAAGGTGTCAAGAACTCCAGCCAAAAAGAACTGAACGAGTCAATGCAAGATCTCTCTGGCGAAGAACGGAGCAGGATCTTGTCAGCCATCACCATGCTAGAGGTGGCCGGGAGCTACCGTGCTGACACCTCCAATGGTGATTGGGGGGATTACAGTATCAAAGTCACGATCAAGAGCTCTGGCGATGCCTCTGTCAAGATCTCCCAGTGCTTCTTCCGAGACAGCCCAGGCGAGGATTTCTTCTACGAGGGTGCCCTCAGTGCAGCAGGTGATCTGCTGACCTTTACCTCTTCCAAGGTGGGAAGCGTTGCGAAAGTTCAAAATGAGATCTCTAAACGTATAAACCGCAATCCAGTTTGCGAACCGACTCCGTGCTCGTAGTTGAGCCAAGGTTACGAACTCGCTCGACACTCCGTTTGAAGACAAGGTCGAGACTATGAAGTTCAAGACCCTCGGCTTTCGTTTGAACATCGAGACTCTTTGTGTTTTTTTTGTTTTTACCCTTGTTGTTTCTGCTCTAATCACCGTTGACTTTTAGATGGCCTGCTCACCTGCATGCCTTCATGCGCCTTCACCGTACCTACGCGATTCGAAACTCATACGTTCATCTACACACAAGTACATATAAACATAAGTATAAATGTAAATATCAATATACAATTAATATAAAAAACATATGTATATACATATATATAGAGAGAGGGAGTGCGTCGGAATACAGGACTGTGTTTTTCAGGTCCAAAACACATATTTTCATGAATTTGACCTTATTTGTGACCATACTTACAATACCTGCATGCATATTATGAGAACATCCACCCGGATACATGTAATTAAAAAACTTAAAACCTTGAAGCCTTGAAGAAATTTGAATGGGAATCTTCATCCATTTAATTTTCAAAAAATCCTTGAAAATCTTGGAGAAATTTGAATTATAGTCTTCAAAAATCTAAATGGGAAGGGCCTCGGGGCCCCCCCATACCCATGTAATTTGCTTATGGCTCTGTTATGTTACGCCGCACTATGTCGTGTCATCACTTCATGTTTCGTTTCTATGTTGCATTAGGCTGCAATGCGCATGGATGAATGACATGTGTGTGTGCACCGTGCATGCACGCGCATGCACATGCATCACGTCCATACAGTACCGGAACAACAATTGGCCTGAAGTGCACAGAGGATTCAGGGAGACGGCTCCTTGGCACGGCTCAACGAGGACGGCTCGGTGGCGCAGATACAAGGGGGCTACGATGGCACACCCGTTCCTCGCTCTGCCAAGCAAAAGATTGTAAAATGGTTTAACAGTGCTTGTGTGTTGGTGTTGTTGGTGTTGTTGTTGTTGTTGTTGTTGTTGCAAATGCTTGTGACATCCGAAAACATGGTCAAAGCAGTTTTTGTTACGCTATGGTACTTCACATGGGCCTAGACGCCCACGCCCCATGCAGGAACCGGCCATTCTCAAGAAGATGAGTGCGTAGACTACCAGCTTTGTGCATGCCTTCGGATTTCCATCGCGCGCAACAGGCGCAGCGAGGGTTTGCCGACGCGCAATGTCTGGACATAAACGGGTGCATCTTTACACGAGAACCAGTGCTCAGCACGCCGAAGCCGATTTTGGATGCGCCGAGGTGTCCGCCGTGCTAGCCACAGGGAAGAAGGCCCGGAGTGCTGCTCGCTTTTGACTGAGCTTTCAAGAGATCAGCCTGCACAGGGTGGTGCAAATTTCCCAACCGATGAAAAAAACAAATGCTGCTTTATCCCATTGCTGTTGCAGACGGGAGCGGCTGATTCAAATTGTCCTACTTGCCCCACTTCTCCCACTTCCACACAACTCTTGCCGCAGTCGGATGCGAGTGAGGCATGCGGGGCACGGTTGGCAAGTGGGGCCAGTGGGGCAAGAAGTAGCAACAAAAGTCAGCGGCGCGGTCCACCTGGTGACGGCATAACTCGCCGACCTTGCCTAGCTTGCCCCATCGAACGGCAGTTGTGTGGACGTGGGATAAGTGGGGCAAGCGGAGCAAGTGGCAGGAAACAGTTGGCAGTCCACTTGCCTCATTTGGTGGCGTCAGAATTACGAAATTGGCCTCACCTGCCCTGCTTGTCCCGAGTAAGTGTAAGAGTAAGTTGAGGTGGGATATGTGGGCAAGTGAAGGAAGTGGGACCAAAAATAAGCTAGCGGCCCTCCTGTCTAGCGAGCAACTAAGTTCCGACGATGCACATGCTTCGATGCGACCCGAAACACCAGAGCCGATCCCGAGACCTTTCCCCCCCCCAACCTCCGGCCATCTCCAGCCGGAACCCAAACCCCTCTACAAACCCCATAATTTTTCCGGTCCCTGCAAACCCCAAACGCTCCTTATAAAACCTATAAACCTGAGATCGGGCGCTGGAGGTGCGAGAAGCTTCCTTCGCCCCTGGTCGCTTGTGCTGGTGGCCTTGGCTTTGCTGCATCCGGGAGGCCATTCCGCGGATGCTTTCGCAGGGCAAATACTACGAAACAGGACAGACTTAATAATCACGAAAGCAAGCGTAGCTAGATTGAGTTTTAATCGCAGTGGCAAGGGAACCGGTCCTGCCCCCCGGCGAGTTGTGTTTACCTGAACATATCGAGGAACATGGGAGGTGGGGGGGTCCTGAATCATCAATTATGAGGTAAACTGAGGGGGTGGTGGCGATATACTCGCAGTCGTTGCTTTCGGCCTGGGCGGCATTGTCAGTCTGTTCGTACGACAAACCGACAATTCGACCTAGGTGGTGTTGGTGTGTGGTGGAGTGTGGATGATACCAATACATCAATATCAATATGATAATTTACTGATGCATTAATATTAATGAGGAGAGTGCAATGTAAGTACCACGACAGAATAGGATAACGATCACGAAAGCTAGCGTAGCAAGGCTTGAGTGCCACTCTGCTTTAGCAGGCTCACAGGTCGGATTTCTCAGTGTGGCGCGAACTTCTCGAATCTATGAGTTCGAGGGTTTGGTTTAGGGTTAAGGGGTTCTTGAGCTACAGCCATAGGTCGCTGCCTACACGAGTGGGCGTTGTCTGAGGCGTGCTTTGGAAGGCTCCACGGACCTGGATCGCGGGCGCATGTAAAAAGCAGGTAAAATGGACATTTCGTCCGAGGCCATCAATAACACATTTGGGGTATATTTGAGGGTCACGCGGTCTGAATGAGCACCTATCCGATCTCAAGAGCATGTTTTTGGAGAGCTCCGCTGACCCTGAGCACATGAAGTTCGAAACCAAAAACGAGAGCTGCAATGCGGTCTTGGAGGCTTTCCTTAAGCATGAAGGCAAGGACGAGTGGTTCCAGTGCAGCGTGGGATGTTTAGAAGCCGTGGTGTGATGTATTTCGGCTGCGTTCATTTGGGGAACTGCTTGCCCGGGTCTACACTCACCGCCGCGATTTTCAAGCACATTCTTGTTTGGATGACTCACGTTCACTGGGGATTCATGTGAAAGTTGCTTTTTGGCATACAGCGAAACAAAATATGAACAGCTGCAGCGTGGGATGCTTTTGGCTGCGTTCACTTGGGGAGTCTAAACTCACCACCGCGATGTTCAAAATCATTCTTGTTTGATAGTTCTGGGTCGTCATGTTGATTCGTCTAGATGGGGGAAGAGCTTCGTGCTACTGTAGGTGTTTAGATGGGGGAAGCATGTGAGGCATGGGCCCGTCTCACATTCGACGGGTCCCAGTAGTATATAAATTCCATAAATATTCAATATCATAAGATCATAATATCAGAATATCAGAATATCATACTTGAATAATCTAACAATGGAATGTCGCAATACAGTAGTATAAAATCAACAATGTCGTAATATAGCAATATAGAAATCTAGTAAGAATATCATAGTAGAACAAGTTAATTGTAACGCTACGCGACCCGCCTCGGCCCGGCCCAGCGCATCCGCGTGAGCACGGTGATTCCGCAGCGCCCAAGTCGCTGGACCTCAAGCAATAAGGGTTGGGTTTAGGGTTTAGGGTTCCGGGTTTATGGTTTATGGTTTATGGTTTATGGTTTTTGGGGTTTAGGGTTGAGGTTTAGGGTTGAGGGCTCAGGGTTGATCGTAAAGTTGAGCCAGGCCCCTCAACCAGGGTGGCAGCGCAGGGGGGCAAGGGGTGGCCGGGGGGGGGGGGGAAGGCCAAGGGTGGGGGGGGGGGGGGCAGGGGGCAGGGAGGGGTGGCAGGGCGGGCGGGGGGCCTGCTAGGCTGGGCTTCAACTGGCCCTGGTCCTGGCGAACCGTCCACTTTCAGATTGTGGTCGCCCATGGGGGGGTACCATTTCCAGGTCAAAAGAGGGGTCCGACGTATGGTTTTGGGTTTAGGAGGGTTCTGGTTCTGACAACCCATACACCTTCGGCCCGAGGCCTCGGCGGATAAGAGTATAATGTATAGTCACACGATATTAACCCACTACAAGTATCTAATAACTTGATATAATAATCCAATCATATATTATCAGAACAATATAGCAATACAATATACCAAAACACCAGCGAACTGCCATAATGTGATCTTATGATGCACTGATAAAATTATAGAAATTGTGCTAATGTGATAGTCTGACTATATGATACTTGTAAACGCTTGCGCGCCCCGCCTCCACAGCCGGGGCTGACCCAACACGGGGTGTAGCACGTACAACTGTCCTGAAAGGTTTTGAAAGGGGACGGTCTCAAGGGGAGGGCTTCAAAGGTCCTGGGCAGAAGAGGGGGGGTCCAGGCCGTCTCAGAAGGGGTCGCAGGGCACCACAACCCACCCGGGGCGGGGGGGGGGGGGGCGTGCAGAAAGTTAAGGGCGGAAGCTACCAGTTCTTGAGGCGTCTTGGCTTGAAGCCCCAATATGGTAATATGATAGTAGATAATGTGATAATATGATACAATAATATGAGATGATGAGCTTGGGCCAGGCTGTTTGCTGCTGTTGGTCGGCACCTGCATGGCCAGCGGCTTGAGTACTGTCAGTGCTAGTGGGTGTAAAGTTCCTTGTCTTGGGTCTGGGGCTTTGGCTTGGGGGTACGATTAGGTATTCAGGACTTCAGATGGGCCGACGATTTCCGCAGTCGTATCAAATCGATGCTGCCAGCGACTCAGGGAATTCTGGCCAGGCTGCCCCGCGGCGATCCGGCACAGGCGGGAGTATCGAATCGCAAGTAATTATGGCGTTTGCGTATCAAAACAGTCGCACACCAGAAGCGGGAACATGCAACAACAAACCCACGCTGTGCGATTTTATGTAGGAGCTGGAGCCGTGCAGAAATTGGCGTTGAGGCACCTTTGCTCGGCCTCACGTCGGTTCTCCTGGGTCCGTTTCTGTTGCGCTCAACTCGGCAGAGAGGCAGAGCTGAGGATCCCGTAGAGTAGCTGTTCTGAATCACTCTTCGTGGCCTTCAAGCTGCTACAGTCCATTAATTCAAACACTCCAGACCAAGGTGCCACTTGCCATCCATAGTCTTCACGGTCATCGGCCTGAACTTCCTTTGGTGCTTCTTGAAGCTTCCTGCGGCCTGTGCCACCAGGTTCTCGAACACTTCGTTTGCGCGATTCACAGATTAACCAGAAACGGAGCACTTATCCTTATCTGACGAAGACGAAGAGCTGTCTTGTCGCGACTTCTCAGTGAAGTGAGAAGTATAGACGGGCATAATGTTAGCGCTGCATGTGTATGGAGCCTCTGAATCAAAGCTTTTCTTGGTGCCGCATGGATGGAGTGGCAGATTCCACAAGTTCTTGCATCATCACAGCAGGGTTTCAAGCCTCCGACACGGGCCCAAGGAGCATCTTGAAAGTACCCGAACGTACATGCTCTTAGAAACTTCTGCCGCGACCCACCCGCCTTCTGCCGTGCAGAGATCCCTCAAAGGTTTGGCTTCTGCTTGGCCAGCAGCACCAAGCTTCAACCCCACCCCTGCAGTGGGGGCCTCTACATTGCTTTACATGGGGAAATAGGCAGTACGAGGAGGCGTATGAATAGCTCTGTCCGCTACACTACAGTATAAATGCTTCGAATGCTTGCAAGGCGGGCCTTGGAGGAGGCCTTGACCTCCTCTCCGCATGCCGCATCGGTCTGGGCGCCACCCCAAGCAGCGAAAGCTCCGCTTAGGTCCAAAGGGCAGCTTTCCTGTAGCGCTTCCAGGCCTTGTATGGAATGGATTTGGTTTGAATCCGTAGCGACAGAGGTAGGACGTTCGAAGTCATGTCAGGCCCCCTAATCCCCGCCCTCTCCTGTCCCGATCTCAAGTGCAACTCCACAGCACCCCAGCAGTTTCGAGGTGCATCTAGCCTCCTGCGAGAAAACATGTGGCAGAGCTTATTCTATCGTTTTTGATGACTGTGTATGAGAA